CCACAGCACTTGCTCTAACTTTTTAACTGTATTTTTTCTAATTTGCGTTCTCCCTCCTATGCAGTAAAACCGTAAAATCCTAAAGGGCAGAAAGTAAGTTTCCTTAACCCAGCACCATTTCTTACACATTAAATGCATTTTTTTTTTTTGTGATGGAATTTCCCTCTTGTTACCCAGGCTGGAGTGCAAATGGCACGATCTCGGCTCACCGCAACCTCCGCCTCCTGGGTTCAGGCAATTCTCCTGCCTTAGCCTCCCGAGTAGCTGGGATTACAGGCACACGCCACCATGCCCAGCTAATTTTTGTATTTTTAGTAGAGTCGGGGTTTCACCATGTTGACCAGGATGGTCTCGATCTCTTGACCTTGTAATTCACCCACCTCAGCCTCCCAAAGTGCTGGGATTACAGGCTTGAGCCACCACACCTGCCCGTTAAATGCATTTTTTAAACATTTCCAAAATAAATCAGCTAATTGCTGGCCTTAGTAAGTAATAAATTTCCGATTAAACCTCCTCAGTAATACACAGGGAATTTACAGTGTTCCGCATGATGAGTACAAGGACTGTGAACCGTAGTCAATAACACAAAAGCGTTACCACCTTAGCGATGCAGAAGTGATGAGGACACCTGGATTTCGTGATCAATAAGCGCTCAATTGGCGCGGCAGAGTTCTGAGTTAGTTGCTGTGATTTAGGAGAAGGAGCATGATTTTACTCCCAGCGGCTTCTGTCAGGATGTGATCGGCGTGGAGGCCCTGAAAGGCATTACATTCAGGATATTTCTCCACGCAGAGTTTCGGGCGCAATGACAGATACATAGAAAACAGTGTTTTACCAGAAAATTCACAGGAAGTTGACGGTACCTTGAAAGCTTAAATTTCCAATTAAAATATGTCATCAGCTAAGAGAGGAGAGGGAGGGAAGCTGCGGCCAGATCCCCAACTCCCTATATTTAGGGGCAGCAAAATCTGCACAGCAGCACTGCAGCCTTGGGCCACACACTTGCTGCCTGCGCCTCTTCAGCATTTGTTCATTAGCGGGACGACTAAGAGCTTTCTCCTCATTTAAACACTGGACAGAAAAGAAAATGAGTTCTGGGTTTTCATGCATTTTTTTAAATAGTGAGAAGCATCTAACTTAACAACGAAGAAAAATGCCTAAGCCAAAATGTCAGCAAGTGCTCATTTTCCGAATAACCATTTGGCTGCTGTGCTGGGATGACCATGGAACTCATTAATTCAACCCGGGACACCTGGGGGGGCAGAGCCTGACTCCCTCATAACCATGCTGAGGGACGGCAGAGACCAGCGTGCGAGGCCGACCACCGCGTGTGGGAGCTCAAAAGTGACAGAGCCAAGCTTAGGATAAGGTGAACCCTGGCTGCTGCTGGGGGAATATTTGACATGACCAGTGCCCACACCTTTCTCCCATTTCTATTTCTTCAAATGGAGAGCAGATCAGGTGGAGGCAGTGGTGGGAGATGCCCCTCTCCCATGCACCCAGCGGCCCTGGGGAGTGGCAGAGCCAGGGACGCACCCCAGGAGATCAGCCCCCAACGCCTCCATCACAAGCTCCCAATGGAATGGATGTTCTAGTACAGGGGCAGCTGCCACGCTCGCCCCGTGTGTGGGGAAGGCTGCTCCGAGAGCACTCCTGGGCGCGTGTTGAGAACACTGGAATCCTACTGCAGTAAGTCAGGACTGGAAAGCCTTCGGTAAACGTGGCTGGTTAGTGTGACGAGGCCACGGGCCCTTTGGCCTGCAGAGCACTGAGCACCGCAGAGGGTCCCAGGACCACTGCACACTGCCTGGGGCGACATCCTGTCTCCAGTAGGAACTCGCTCTCCCCCGAGCGGCTATGAGCTGTCTCACGTGTCACTATGACACCTCCCAATGGCTCAGCACAAACGGCTCCGTGTCCACCAAAGACCTTCACTCTCAGCCAGTGCTCCGTGTCCACCAAAGACCTTCACTCTCAGCCAGTGCTCCGTGTCCACCAAAGACCTTCACTCTCAGCCAGTGCTCCGTGTCCACAGCTTGTTTTCGACGTGTGAACGTGGCTGCTTTGAGGCCAGGGTAGCTCTGCAGGCTCTCAATTCACCCTCCAGGCAAATCTGTGCTGCGCCTTGTTCCGCAGGCAAATTCCATTCTCACTCTGACTGTTTTGTGTTAGTGCAGGGGCTACTTAATAAAATAAGCAAACCCGAAGGAGGAGCATGATGATGGGTTCGAGATGGAACAACTGAGGCTCCCACCGAATGAAACCAAATGCTGTTTGCAGCTGGTGCCCCTCACTGCCCGTCCGAAGCAAGGCCACGCTCCTGCCCTTCTCTTTGCAGTAGCCCGTGGAGAGGGCCCTGGGACATCAGTCCAGGCGAGCACAATACCATCAAGTCAGGGGGAACGGACGGTAAACTGCTTCACAGAAATGTCACCTGATTTTCTTTCACTCAAACTTCTTTGAGTTTCTGAAACTTTTAAAGATGTCCCCCCTTCCCTTGTATGTTACTAAAACCATCTCCGGGCTGATCACTCTCTTCCAGGGTCTGGGGACATGACATGACAGCATCATTAAGGAAGCAGAATTCCACAGCAGCCATGGAGCAGAGCACCGGGCCTCACAGCCCTTCTGATAAAGACACAACAGGGCAGAGGAGGGCAAAGCAATGGTTTCAGAGCTGGAGGTGCTAAAATGCCCACTATCAAGAGGGTGGGAGAAATGCCAGTTTCCACTATGCGGGCTGAGACCTGCTCTGTGGTGCCCGAGGGGTGAGCGTGCGGAGGAAGCATGTTTGCCAGTGACCTGGCATCCTCGGATTCCCCTCATCAGAGTCGGAAACCTCCACTCAGACTCTCCACCTAATTCCCATTTCATTTTTAAAAGATTATTTTATCAACGGTAGTCATGGTTACAGCTTCACAACGCCTCTGGGGCCACTGCCCCTCATTCACAGCTGAGGACCCGGGGTGGGGGTACAGAAGCTGAGCAGCTCTGCACAGCCCCAGAGCAGCGGGCGGAGGAGCCTCTGACCCAAGGCCAGAGCTGCGTGAAATCCACGTTCCGCACTCACAAAATATAGCAGGACGTTCAGCGCACCACAGGTGCTTAGTTGCTCTCGGTTAATGAATAAAACTTTAAATTTAGCACGTTTAAAGCGGACCAGGCCCTCTAGGGTGAGGCTCACACAGAAAGGCTCCCATGGGCTCCCAGGAAAGGCTTTAGGGCATGTTTCTCAGGCCAGCCCGTGGTCCTGATGGGAGGCAGGCCTGGCATAGGGCAGGGCTGGGATTGGCCTCTCGGCCTGAGCCTAACCCTAGAGGGAGACCTGGGGCCTGCAGAGCCCCATGGCCTGCACTTCCATGAGGGCTGAAGACCCCGCCCTCCACCAAGAGGGGCAATTTCGACCAGCCAGGAAACACAGTCCATGATCAGGAGAAACATAAATATGGCACAGGTCCACTGAGGCCCCTGTGCAGCCTCTCAACTGTGACCTGAGGGTCTGGTGCCCCGTGGCCCCTGTGTGGGCCCTGGGCCAGCATCAGAGCTCTGCCTGTCAGCCGTGGACAGACTGGCTTCTGCATCCAAATACTGTTGTGACAACCTCCTGAGCAGAGGCAAGGCCACAGCAAAGACGGACGCCCAGGGGCTGACCTAGGGAACGCTCCAGAGAACCGTGGAGCCAAGGCCGGGCCTTCCCGGGCACCGCCCAAGACACAGAAGTGCCCCAGCTTCCTCGCCTGCCTATGCCGAACACGCCCGCCTTGGGAGCTGCCTTCTGTGGAAACTCACCCTGTGGATCCCACGCATGTGTTCCAGAGAGCCCTAAACTGGCCTGGGATTGAGCCTAGGGCCACCCTGTATCCTCTGGAAGGATTGTAACCAGAGTTAACTGAAGCCATTTCAGTGGCTCAGTGGCAGGAACATGATAGTAACTGGGCCCACCTCCTTCCCACACACATCCTAGGACCACAGCTCCTGGTGAGACCCCGGTGGAGTCCACAGGGACGCAGAGTGTCCTCAGACTTTCCCGCCTCCCACCAGCACGGTGCCGTCTTAGAGAGGAAAAGGTGTCAATCAGCATGGCTGTAAGGGATGTTGGTGGAAAAGGAGTGTGTGAGCGCCACCATCAAACCGCCAAGGCCCCCAGGGCCACCCTGGGCCTCCACACCTGGTCCAAAGCCCTACCCCAGGAAGCTGGCAGACAGTCCCTCCCTGTTTCCAGGCACAGAGGACCTGTCAGCACCGGCCTAACAAGTCGTCACAAAAATCATGCCTGCTTTTCCATTTAAAGAGCTCACTGACATTCCTGATTCCATTTCCTTAAAATGTCAAGTGGGCATCGCCTATGGAAGGGTCTCTGGGTGCAGGTCCTTGCAGCTCCCTCTGGCCCTGCACAAATGCTCCTGGGGTTCACCTCCCAGCCTGCCTGGACCCTGTGTGTCCAGGGCATCCACCTTGTGTTCCGGTGCCAAGACCTCGTGCCCACAGGCAGACAGAGTCCCTACGCTGCCCTGGGCTGCCCCCCGGGGGGCTTGCTGGGGAGTGGGAGGAGCTTTTTCCTTGGATGCAGTCGTTGCACCTGGTGCCCCTAATTCCAGCCACATTCATGGCCCCTCAGTCTCCCTCGATCGGGTTTCAGTGTCCACTGCTGTCTGGGTTCCTTCCCAAAGGGTAAAGAGAAGCCACTTATCTCCTCTACCTCCCAGGTATGCGCCTGCGGTTTAAATGGTGGACTTTCTGGAGTCACGACAGCTTGTCCCAAAAGAGATCCTAGAGAGCCTCACCCCAAGGACTAAGTATTCATGATGGGGGTGGCCAGACTGGGAGCCAGTGTGGCTCTAAACAACCCCAGGCACACCGAAGGCCTGTTCACAGGCTGCCCACTGGCCCAGGACACAGGCGTGAAGCCGAGAGGAGCCAGCAGCCGAGGAGACAGACCCAGGTACCAGCACCCTGGAGGAACAGCCAACCCCAGCTGCGGGAGGAAGTGGAAGGGTCACCTCAGCAGGAGGTCTGTCCAGCACAGTCTGGGTCCTGGTGAGCACGTCTGAGGCTGGGGCCTGGGATAGGGCCTCCAGGAAGGGCAGGTGGCGTTGGAGGGCCTTGGCCAGGGCAGCGCTGCCCTCCCGGCTGTACCTCCTCTCGCTGCCAATGCTCTGTTTTGAGGGCCTGAAAAGCAAAAGAAACCAGACATCAATCACATTTGCTGACGCCCGGAGCTGCCCCTCCCCTGGGGCGCCTGGGTGCATGTGAGGGGACTGGGAGCCGGGCTGGGTGGCTGGCCTGGCCTTGCTGCTCCGTCACCATGGGTCTGAACTTCTCCCGGACCCAGGAGGATGGTTAACAGCACCTGCCTCATGGTTGTGGGGATGGACGAGTGACCCCTCCTGAGAGCTGAGAAGCAAGAGTAGCACTCAGGGAACAGCTGCAGTAACACTGACAGGTCCCTGGGGAGACAGAGCCAGGACTCCACACTGCCCACGTATAGTCCTGATGGAGACCTGGGCAGGGGGGAGGACATCTGTGGTCCTCTGAGTCTGTACCCTGACCCCCTTTACCCTCAGGTATGGCAGAAAGCTTGTCTGAGCCACAGGGAAATGTCTCAGCCCAAGACATGATGGGCACCGCCTCCCTGCCTGCCTGGCTCACCTGCAGACGCTGTGGCTGGCCTCGGTGGGCACCCAGGACTCAGCCACCCAGAGCTTCACAGCCCCCTTTTTCACACACGACTAAAAGGGCCTAGAGTAGGCTCCCAAATGAGAAAGAGAATTCCCACAGGAGATGCCTCTACCAGCCAGGACTAAGAACACCTGTGTGACTGACTGCACCTCCCCGCCACACACACACACCTTCCGGCAAGTTCCCGCCTCAAAAAAGAGTGTGTGGCCTGGTGTGGTGGCTCACACCTATAATCCCAGGACTTTGGGCGGCCAAGGCAGGCGGATCACAAAGTCAGGATATCAAGACCATCCTGGCCAACAAGGTAAACCCTGTCTGTACTAAAAATACAAAAACATCAGCTGGGTATGGTGGCGCACGCTTGTAGTCCCAGCTACTCGGGAGGCTGAGGCAGGAGAATTGGTTGAACCCAGGAGGCGGAGGTTGCGGTGAGCTGAGATCGCACCATTGCACTCAAACCTGGGTAACAAGAGTGAAACTCCGTCTCAAAAGAAAAAAAAAAATGGGCATCACTGTTAAAGAGATGGGCCAGTGTGGGAGCTCTTGCTGCCCAGCTCTGCTGCCCACAGACAAGGGCAGTGCCCTCCATGAGCCTGCTGCTCCCAGCAACGCTGCCAAATCCACTTTCTCACAAGAGCCATGTTAGTCAATGACCCATCACTTCAGGTCCGACTTCTGCTGCAGTGGACGGTCCGGACACCGCGGGCCACGGTGCCACGTCCACTGCAGCACAAGACTCAACCTCCTTCTTCACAGGCTCTGTGGGTGCGGTCAGCTGCATCTGCTTCTCCCAGGCCAGGCAGAGGCTAGGTCTGAGCTGACCCCAGGCCCTGGCTGCCTCAGAGCCCTGGGCACAGCTCCACCTCGGCCTTCTCACCACCTGACTAGATCCCCCTTAGGGCAAGAAGACAGAGCTACAGCCAGTGTCCAACAGTCACACTTAACAGACCAGAGCTGCCTCCAGGACACATCACAGCACTTAACATATGAAATAAGAGACTTCAGTGGCTACTCGCATTTCTCCCTCCAGCTGGACGCGGGTGTTGACATGAAATCTGTAGACAGCTTTGTCATCAACCTCACAATGCACATTTGTCATTTCTGTTTGAACAATCAATGTCTTTAAACGTGATTTAAGTGAAAGGAAAGCACTGTGCTCTCTTGTGTGCTTCTGTCTGGCACCTCTCCCTCCGGCCAGAGGGGCGGCTCTGCCAGCCATGGCCATGGAGCTCTGCTGGGGATGGCACCCTTCAGTATCTGCATTTCTGAGGAAGGCGTAATTTTCCCTTTGTATTTGAAGGATACTTTCATGGAATGTAGAATTCTGGGTTAATTTTCTTTCCTTTCAGTACTTTAAAAGTGTTTTCCACCATCTTCTGGCCCAGAGCATTCTCCAGGAGGAAATTGCAGTGGCCTTCCTTGTATCATCTCTCTATGAAATGCATCTTTTTCTCCTCTGACTGATTGGCTTTTTATCACTGGTTTTGAGAAATAGATTGTGATATTTCTTGGTCTTCATGTTTCTTTTTAGGGGGCTCATTGAGCTTTCTGGGTCTATGAGTTTATCATTTTTATCATATTGAAATAATTCTGGTCATTATTTCTTCAAATGTTTTTTCTGTCCCTGTCTCTCCCACCTTGGGACTCCAGTTATACATCTATTTGGCCTCTTAGACGTGTCCCACAGCTCACTGGTGTGTGTGTGTGTGTGTGTGTGTGTGTGTGTGTGTGTTTAAATCAGCCTTCCTCGTTTCCTTATGGATAGTTCCTATTGCTATGTCTTCAAGTTCACTAATATTTTCTACCATAGTGTCTAACCTGCTGTTCATTCCACCCATGAATTTTTCCTGTCTCCTACTTACTGTGTCTGTAGGTCAGGAAGTAGGTAACTGACCTATCTGTGTCACTGATTAATTTGATAAGTTGCATTTTCCTGCTCCTTCTCATGCCAGATAGCCCATGTCTATATATTCAAATTGTGAATTTCACCTTATTGGGTGATGGACATTTGCATTCCCATAAATATTATTTACCTTTGCTCTGGCATTCAGTTAAGTGGCTTGGGACCAGTTCAACCCTCTCGGGTCTTCTAAGACTCGTTTGGCAGGAACAGAGCAGCTATTCTTATGAGAAATTACTCTCCACTACTGAGACAAGACTCTGTGGGCACTCTACCTAATGATCTGGAAATTATGAGGTTTGCAGGTCTGACAGGTGTGAACAGGTACCATACCTCACCCTGTGTGAGTGTCAGGTACTGCTTGCTCTCATTTCTTTGGATGGTTCTTTTCCCTCAGGCATACAAGATCATCGATTATCTACCAAATCCTCAGCAGCTGAAAATCTCCTGGGCTCTCTGTGCACCTCTTCTCTCTTACACTCTGATGCATGAACTCGAGCTGCCTTGGTTTCCCCAGACCTTCATTTCTGTCTCATCAACTCTGGCAGTCCAGTGAGCACCAAGGTCCCTGAGGCAGCTGGGGGCAAGTGTCGTCCCTCCCGAAGTGGCCCTCCACCACGGGGGTCTGCCTCGCCCACATTTACACCCATCTGGGAGGTCTGCATCCCACACTGGCCCCCAGCCCCTAAGGAGGGGTCATGGTTCCTGAGGCCTCTGTCATGACTACACTGAGTCCAACCTCTCCTTGGCCAAACCTGCCTCTTCACTTCCCTGTCAGGGGTCTTCTGAAGACCCTGCACTCAGACTTTAGGACCACAGAGTCTGCTGTCCAGACACCCAACCAAGACGTGGGCACCCCAGGACCTGGTCCACAGCCAGTGAGGATCCTGGAGGACTTGAGTCATCCAGTGCCCCCAACACCAGTGGAAAGGCAATGACAGATTTCTCCTTGAGAAGTGCTCCAGGCCAGAAGACAGCAGGAAGTATTTTTAAAGGTGTGAAAGAAAAAAAATGTTAACCCAGAATTCTATATCCTATGAAAATATCCTTCAAATACAAACATAGACTTATGGCTTTCTTAGAAATACAGATGCTGATGGACATCGTCCCCAGCAGAGCTCCACAATGAGGGGTGTCAACAGCCCAGGCACCCTGACAGGCACAGGGAGTAGGTATCACCCCCTTTTACAGGTGAGGGCACCGAGGCCCGGCAGGTCACTGGGTGACACTGTGACTCCGACTCAAGGTGTTCCCCTGAAACTGGACAAACAACACGACTTTCTTCCCAGCCTAGGACCCAGGTCCATCAGCGCCCCACCAGCCTCACCCACACTTGCCACCCAGGGCAGGCGGGACAGCAGCTGGGTGTCAGCAGTCCACAGCGAGGACCCCTCACTGCTGGCACTGTTATCTGCCTGCCCCTGACGTCCCAGGTCTAGAGACAGCATCTTTTTCGCTACAGGCTGACCTAGATGCTGTAGTTCAGCCAAATAATGAGTACAGTGCTTTATAAACTGAAACCACTTTCACTCTCATTATGATGGGGAATTCAGCACTGACCACATGGTGATGTCACCATGTGTGTGTATGTGAGTGTGTGTGTGCACACGCATGTCCATACACCCAAATGAATAGATACACAGGTGAATACACATACAGGTATGTCCCCCAAAACATTTTCAAGTTAGCATTGTCGTACTAGAACGCCTCCTGGTTTCTGATCCCCAGATTCCATAGAGCACAGCTGCCTTTCATGACAATGATTTCTTGGCTGACGTTTTATATAAAGTACACATAAACGTGTGTGTGTGTGCAGATATACGTGCACACATGCACACACAGACAGTCCCCACTTACGGCTGCTCAACTTCCTGCTTCTGGATTCATGGCGGTGCGGCCAGATGCACTCAGTAGAAATTGGAACTTTGAGCACCCACGCAATCCCTGTTTCTCACTTGCAGACCAGCAGTCCCTAAATCACGAGATACTCAATATCTCATTATAAAATAGGTTTTGTGCTGGATGTCTTTGCCCAACTGTAGGCTGATGTAAGTTTTCTGAGCATGTTTAAGGCAGGCTGGGCTAAGCTATGATGCTTTGTTAGGTGTATTAAATGCATTTTCAATGTATTTACAGTATGTTTCCAACTTCAAATGGCTTTATTAGGACGGAACCCCTCCTCATGGTCAAGGAGCATCTGTGTACATCTGTATACACATGTATGTATGTACATGTATGTAATTGTGCATGTGCATCTCTGCACATATATGTACATAGATGTGTATCTCTACATATATGTATATACATGTGCATGTGTGTGCATGTGTATCTCCACATATATATGTATATGTATGTGCATGTGTATCTCCACATAATTATGTATATACATAAGTATGCATGTGTGCATGTGCATCTCCACATATACATGTAAATACATGTATGTATGTGTGCATGTATGTGTATCTCCACATATATATACACACATATGCATGTGTGTGCGTGTGTATCTCCACATATATATGTATACATATGTGTGCATGTGTATCCCCACATATGTATGTATCTGTGTATGTGTGTGTGCATGTGTGTT